AAAAAAAATACTAGCATATCTCCTACGAAGAGGCGCTTTTGAATCATCACGTTATACTGCCTAACGAGAAGGAAGAGGGTAGGATAATAGCCATACAGAGACCTCTATGTTGAGAACTATTCCCAACGATACGGAACTTTAAAAACCCGGTTTAATGCGGACACTTCATGATACTTGATTTCTTTCAATTTTTTTTGGTGCCCCCATTTAGGAGCTTTCACTGTGCGTTTTTACGTGGCATGAGTTTCTTGTTTCAAACATCCTTAAATTGAGGGCACCGTTTGAACTTAACAGGTATGGATTAGAACGGAAACTTATGGATGTGTAAAGTGTACAATTAGAAGGATTTAGTTCTAAGTGAATAAAGTATAGCGCAACAAGGATTAACAATCACACATCTTCGTTGTTGTATTTCCTTCAACACTTTTATTAAATAAGTTTTAAAGCGGAAAACTCGCCTGATTTGTATGCTATTAAAATAACAGACTACCCGAGGTGCGCAGAAAACGTAGTATGGAAAATCAGTGCATGAATAATGAAAAAAGCGTTGTTGAAGGTAACGCCCCAGGCAGCCTCCATGATAGGAGTGTAGCCTGCGTGTTGGACGTTCGTAAGTGAAGGGAGTTTTAGCATGCGTTAAAACGTACTCCTACATTTCCTTTTCCCCTTCCCTTTCCAACATCTGCTACGTAGGTTGAAACAAAAGTGAAAGGATAGTCCCAGGGCGCCAAAAAGATAGTGGCGAGAAGAAAGCGCAAAACGTTCATTCTCTCCCCGCTCATCTCATCTCCAGGCCTTCTCAGCGTTCCCTTACTTCATGCAGAGGCTCGAACCCTTTCCCTACTCACGCCTGATATATGGCTTTGTGGGCCCCTTTCTTCAGTTTCCTTTTTAGTGATAGTAGTTTATTATTTAGTAGTTCTTAATGCACACCGCAAGTTGTCCTTCGCACTTACAACCTAGCAGCCTTGAACAGTCTTATATGATACGCTTCAGTGTCGCATAACTGACGATACTTTACATGCTCTTAAAAATGTTTGGCCTGTTAACAGGTGGCAATAAATCTGGTTCTGGTAGTTAGTTTGAATGGTAAAAAGGTATGCTCCAGGTAGTCTTGCAAATCTGTTTCTTAATCGGCTTTTAGTTACCTTTAACCCATTCACAACGCGTGGGACAAAAAGGGGAAACAATCCGTCTCAATAAGAAAGAACGATTCCGATTTGGTCTCACCAGAACCCCTTATGAGTTTCTGGTCCACACAATAAAGCCTGAATTAGTCTACTCGGGGACTCCCTTTAAATACGTTCTGAAATGATACTAGATTTGAGCAAAGACTTAATAAGGAAAAAAACATGCAATGAAATAAGGATTTTATGCCGACATTAGAAATGTTAAATGAGCAAGTTTCCCCAAAATACCGTGTTCTCCACATTTGTAATGAAAAGGCGAGTGTCAGAGGGACAGAATGATTCACTCAGATTTGCTTATAATACCCTCAGACGTTTTGTCAACCACTGTGTCAAGATTTTGATCTTGACAGTCAAGCTCTTTTCCCTCGTGCGTCACTTCCTGAGACAATGGTGAAGTAACTCCATTGCATTGCTTAACGTCTGTTTCAGTGAGCTTTGATGGCAGAGTTGTATTTGGGTTTGGGTAAAGTCCATTTGAAGAGAAGTCACCACTCTCCTCGCATCCACCAGATTCACTGACGCTTGTCTCGTAGCAGGTTAGGTCCAGCAACAATTCACAATCATTCTTAGAGTCTTTCTCCTTCAAACCAACAGTACCTTTCATATCGGTACAACTATCAGCTAACTCATTTGTTTCACCATTCAGACCCAAGGGCATAGACTTCGCAGGTAAAAAACTGTCCTCGGATTTTGCATCCGTTTTCTCCAGGTCTGTCCGTGGTGACAACGCTGGCTTTGTTTGTGATTGTACCACCTTCACGCCATCACACTGTGATATCTTAGTCCTGGGGATTGTATTAGACGCTTCAGTGGTAATTAGACAAAGTGAGTCCGCTTTGAGTGCACATTCGTTAGGAGATGTGACATGTGAAGATGTTAATTCCTGGTCATGTGAAGACGCGCACGTCAATTTTGCCTCAACAGGACTTACCAACATTACTGCTGATTTGCTCTCCAAGGTCACAGGAGTGGTTGATACTTCATTTGAGGATATTTCCTTTGGGCTAACTTGTTTATTGCTGGTAGATGAAGCAGTTATCGTGGGTTTTGACTTAACAGGACAAGTGATCGATGACGCTGAACCGATACCCATGGTTACAATACTATCTGGTCCTTTGCTAAAAGCTGGCAACATCGATGCTGTTGCCATTGTTGTTGGCAGAACAGCGGTGCTTTCCAGAGCTACCGTCGATTTAGCCGCAGTCATTCCAGATGGACACACTGTCTCTTTAACAAATGACTTGTTGCCACTGACAACAGAAGAAACTTTCGTCTCCACTTGCGGTAAGCTGTGCCCAGCTTGTGACAAGGTTGGTGCTGAAGTGATAGAAGTAGCCGGTACTCTGTCTATTCCTTGTGGTATGGTTGTAGGACTTGTTGTTGTTGATATAGTCGTCACAAGTAGTTTGCTTCCAGATGCTACTGCATTAGTCTTAGCTTCAGATGGTTTCATTCCTATTGGAGACATTGCTGCCTGGACAAATACTTTGTTGCCAGTGATAACAGAAGAAGTCTTTGCCTCCACCTGCGGCACACTTTGCCCGGCCGGTGCAATAACCACCTTTTGCCCCTGGGCAGTCTGTGCAATTTTTGCATTTCCCAAAACAGAAATAGCTGTTCCGGATAACTGAGTTGTACTTGAAGGTCTGATAATGACCAACTGCTGCGAGGCTGCTTGGGCAGACATGGTCCTGGTCCCTCCCTTAACTGTGAGTGGCACGATCCCTCCGGCCCCTGGGTGCTGCACTAGAATAACAGGAGATGATGCACTTGTGGTACTAACAAGACCTCCTGCCTTGGCCGTTGATAAAGTACTGCCCGATTTAGCGGGTGCAGCTGAGATAACAACCTTATGAATGGATGTGCTTGGAGGAAGCGACAATGAGCTACCAACCGCAGATGATGTAGTGGGAGTTGACAGTGGTGACGACGAGGTCACCACACACGCAGGTGACGATGTGCTGCTGCCCCCTGCAGCAGTAGTCACAGTCTTTGCTTGAATCAAATGTTGCTGTGATATAGGTACTGCTTTCATGACTCTTACAGGAACTGATACGTCAGATGGAGAAGATGTTGATGAAGATGAAGGAGCGGCAGATGCTGATGTCAAGCTGCCAGTGCTTCCCAGAATAGCAGTGTTCAAAACCTTTCCTTGAACCAGGGACTGCTGTGATACAGGAACTGCTTTCAGTACTTGCANAGCAGTAGTCACAGTCTTTGCTTGAATCAAATGTTGCTGTGATATAGGTACTGCTTTCATGACTCTTACAGGAACTGATACGTCAGATGGAGAAGATGTTGATGAAGATGAAGGAGCGGCAGATGCTGATGTTAAGCTGCCAGTGCTTCCCAGAATAGCAGTGTTCAAAACCTTTCCTTGAACCAGGGACTGCTGTGATACAGGAACTGCTTTCAGTACTTGCAATGGAACTCCAGAACTGGTCACAAACATAACCTTACCTAAGCCTGGTACAGTAGCAGACAAACCAGCTTGGGACTGTAGACTAGACGCAAGGCTAGAAGCCGTTGATGCGAGATTTTTAGAAACTGTGACAGGATGAACTGAGGCAATGCTTTGGACATGAGACGTAGGCACTGAAACTGTGGATTGTTTCTTAGTCACAGTAGATGATTGTGATTTGTTCAAGATAACTGGCTTGGGGTGTATTCTAACAGATGGTGCGTTCTTGCCCTGCAGGGTGATACTAGGGCGAGACGTTGATGCCACCGTAGCTACTCCATCAGTTGCCACAATACGAACACAACTACTAGAAACGACTTTCTTATCGGCAGCTGCTGGGACTGCAGCAACCACATTAGCTAATCTTATCTGTTTATCCATCTGTAGACCTGCTGGAACATGGCTGACTGGTTGTCGATTTGCTTGTGTGAATCCAGCGGAAGTTGCTTGCGTGACAGCCGTGACTGTAGCTGAAGAGACTACAGTAGTTACTGACTTCTTTCGCTTCTTCTTCAGTTTCAGAGGCGCTGTTTGAATGGAGATGGAGCATGGGTCATTTTCAGTGTCACCATCTGTAGAACCTGAAGGCTTTTGACATTCCTCAACAATGTCAGCTTCATCAGCTGCCTTTCTCTTTTGAGGAAGCACTATCGGTGTTCCAGTTTGGTTTTCAGTCATTTCACTATCTTTAGTTGCTTCCATACGTGTCGGCGTTTTGCTTCTCCTCCCTTCTTCACCTTCTAAAACAAAATCTTCATCACTTGACATGTTCTGGGCACCAGCGTCTTCGATTTCATCTCCACTATTTTCTTCACTGCCCCATTCCTCTCCTTCTTCGACAGGAACGACTTCTTCAAGAAATAATAAAACAACAAAAAAAAAGTTAAAAACTCAAAACCAAGTAATAGGGTGGAATGCACGTAACTTGAACCTTCAGTGAAAGCAAAGCTGTTCTGATCTGAGTTAGCTGGAGGAGTTCCGCTTTCTGGGACAATAACAATTTTTTTTTCATCCATCTTGTGTTGTTCGTGCATGGCAGTCTTTCTCTCCCCCCTTTTTCAACTGCTTGCCAGTGTAACGGGGGCCTTGACGCCTTGCATGGGGGTAGCGGTGATTGCCAGCCATGGAATTGGTAGTCAGTCTAGGCGCAGGGTAGTTGGCCTCCAGTAGAAACCCCTGAACATCCAAGAAACCAAACTAGCATTTCGCGATGCAGGCTTTAAGATGAGAAAATTGTACAAAAAAAAATGATGAATCTGTACTACTATACCTGGCTCATCCTCTGGTTCTGGCTCCAGACTCTCTTTCATGATTTTAATCTTTGCTTTGCTCATCATTTTACCAAACGACATCTCATACTTCTCTAACTCCTCCAACAAAGCTATTAGAGTTTGATGCAGGTCAACTTCACAGCGCTTCCTTGGAGGTGGGGGCTTGGGTTTTCTTCCACGTTTTGTAAGTGGAGGGGGTGGATCATCAAATTTCTCACAAAGCTTTTTCAGGGTCTCAATATCACACGCTGCCAGTTCAAAGCCTTCGGCAATCGTGTTTTTTGGCTCCAGTGGATCTTCTTGCTCGGATGGTGGAGGTGTTGGAGGAGGAGGAGTTTCTGGCTCAGGTGACGGTGTACTACTCCTCAACTACAACAAATGAAAGTAACATAATTCATACTACAGCATCTGCCATTAATATTGCAACCAAATCGTCAAGGACAATCTATCAAAGAAAAGAATGTCCCACTCCATGAGCTAGAGCACTTAATGGTACCATGTTAAGGTAAAAGTGTTTTAGCGTATAATCCCTCAAAATGGTATCAAATTTTGGTTCTGGCTCATGGACTCACGGGATTAACGGCAGGAGCAATTTCAGCAGAAATGAGGCATGAAAGAAAATTGAAGGAACAAATTCCATTCAACAAAATTTAAGACGGTTAGGAATGTGGTTCATTTATGATCTGATCTTGAATATGATCATGTGCAGTGAGTGAAATTTAGAAGATTATCTTTTACATATCACTGTTGTAAAGAAATCGTTTTTCTCTTGTAAACTGGCTTTATGGGAAAACGGTTGGTTGTTGGCCCTGACATCCTGAAATCCATTTAGAATTCATACTGGTTTTCCACTGTCTCATGTACATTAAAACTCAACTCTATGCACCCCTGTGCTTTCACTGATTACTGCTGACAACCTTGTCACAAGCAATCAGAGAGATAAAGTGTGTAACTACACTGTAAAGCTGGCACAGGAACTATCAACTTACCTTTCTAAGTCTGGTATTTCGCTTGGATGGGATGGGTGTGGCAGCCCTGGCTGGAGTCACTTTAGGTTTTACTATGGCTGGTGGAGGTGTTGTAACCTTGATGAGTAACAAAATGTGGTTAGCTAATCTTTCATAAAGTTAATATTATACTTATGCACGACACTGGAAAAGTATTGGTATTTGGTAGTTATCTAGCTTATGACTACAGCTGTGTTTCACAGGATCATTTTGGCTTTAAAAGTTGGATACCAAAGTTGTCTACATCCAGAAACCCAAAACTACTGAATTAATTACTGTGGGATTCTACTTTTCAGAATCTACTTAAGAAAGCTAAATTGGTTTGGATAATCAAAAGGTTTGAAAATTTGGTAGTCAAAATTATAGTACTTGACTTGTGAAGGGAAATTAGTTTTGGTTTGAATTATCCAAGAGTAGAAAAGTGGGGGTTCAAGAAATCAGGATTCTATTGTATGTAAATTTTGATTTACATTATACATGTAAGTATAGAAATTTTCAGGCTAAGACATAGCCTGACATGGCCGGTATACAAACGAACCCTCCCCTTAGAAAAAGAATCACAGAGAGAGAGTCTCTCTCCCCAAGTTTTTTTGGAGGGAGGGGGCATCTGTACACAGGCTAGCCAAAATACAGGTGTTCCTCTTGCGAAATGACTTAGGGGGCAGGGAGCAACGAGAGCGTGGAGCTGACTGAAGATACACTACTTACTTTCATGACTTCTTTCTAAAGAAACCAAGAGACAACTAAAACAGACAAATCTTTACTGTTTTACGATAAGTTCAATTTTGTATCAGTCGCACCTTTTTCTTTCTTTTGCTGAATGTTGGAACCTCCAAAGGACATTGCTTGTAGATACGCAAATCAGTGGCAGAGAAGATAGGAAAATACAGATACGTCCAGTTATTGGCATCATTCCCCAAAAGTAATTCTCTTTGATCAGTTGGAGCAATAGTGGTCAGGTGATCACGAAAATCATAGTCCCTCACCTGAAAGAAAACAAACAGACATGTCAAAGTAAAATTCCAATTTAAGACAAAACAGTATAAAGAAATACACACAAGGCCTACCTAATCGATTGACTAACTTCACTGAATTTTATTTCTAAGGAAAAACAGGGTTTTCTGAATTGCTGAGCACAAAATTTTTTCTCTCCCAAATTTGATCACGTTGGAGAGGTCCTTCAAAAGCACTGATGATTTGCACAGAACAAGTGCTTTTACGGTAGAATCTTAGAGGAACCTTTTTGTGAAATTAATTTTATCAGATTTTCAGTCTTACCAGGCTATTGTCACATAGACATTTAAGAATCCACACTCGTTGATGGAGAGTTAGGTCCATATAGGACTTTTCTAGAAGAGGATTCACTTCACCTGGAGACAAAAAAAAAAGAAAAAAAATTATTGATGTTAGCCATAACTTTAAAAAAATATATTGCATATTCTGCCCTATCAATTCAGCATCAGAAATCCAAGTTTATCAAAATTTGTCTATTATTATTTACAGTTGCTTTAATACAGTTATCATTGATTGTTGTTGTTGTCATCAATGAAAGCCTCAATGTGAGCCTTCACTTGATCATTTTGTCTGCTGAGAGACTGCTGCTACCAACAACGCTTATCTGCAACAGATTAAATTTGACCGCAAATCCTGTATTATTGACAGATAAAATCATCTATACAATAATAACATCATTAATACAAGCTACATGTACCCACCTATAACTTCAAATAGAGTCATATCCAAGCCATATTGTTGACAAGTCTATAACAATAAAGAATGGAATTGTTAATGTCTGGTTACGACAGTCAACATTCTTGGGAAAAAACTTGCTATCTCTGTCCCATTACAGCCTAACTGAGGTGTTTATTACATATTCTACAATAACAAATTGGCTTTTATTCCAAATCGAAATTTTAGCAAATCTCAGTGCTGTATGAATTCACAGAAGTACAAGATTATTATCATGATTATTTTAGGCACAACTTTTAAATATGTTACTTGTATCATTTTATACACATAGAGCCCTGTATCAGCTTGGCTCAATGAAAACAATTAGCTTCTCCTGCCATTATGGTCAAGATACATACATACAGCATTGCTCATTTCTAGCAACATCTAGCGACCACTGGTGATTTAATTTTTCTTTGGGTAACAAGGGAATCTTAGTTCTTATACAAAACTAAAGAGCTGGTTACTCAATACTTAAGAGGTTTGGAGCTCATGGGCTACCTACAACTTAAGCAAAGCATTGATGCAGATACAATGCATTAGAACAAAACCTTGAATGTCGTAATACACTTACAAATTCTTGGCCATCCTTCTCAGTAGCTTTGTACCAGCCGTTTACTCTGTCACAGAGTTTGGATTCCCAAACTTTGAACTTCATGGGTGGCTTCTTGAACAAACTACCCAAAATGAATTGAAAGATTATAAGATTATGTGTAGCAACAACACAATCAGCTACATAGCACTTCTAGACAGTTACAGAGCATCCTAAAAATTCCTAAAAGAAATATTATTGTGGTCTACAGTAAACATGATGGCCTGACTACCGTCCTGCAGTACCTATATTTTATTAATTCAAAATATCAAGTCTTGTATAATGTTTGTAGAACATGAATACATAAATTTTGTACCAAAATTGAAAGACTCATGAGTTGATTGTTTGGGAGGAGCCTCCCTGTATTTTCCAGTTTTTTGTCAAATCACTGGCAACTTATTTAACATTGCATTAATTAACTAATCAATAAAAACTACCAATCACTTCAAGTAAGATAAAAATGAATAATTCAACATTAAATATCTAACTTAGGCCTCGGCCAAACGTCAAACTTTTCATGAGATGAACCAAACTTAGAGAGTTAAGTTCATGAAAAGTGCAATGTCTGGCTCAGTTAAGTTCATTTGAATGAGTTTGGATCGTCATGTTCTATCTGTCTGCTTCAGACAGATAGAATATCTGAAGATTGTCTTGAGGACAAATGGCGATCTTCATATGCAACAAACTAAACTAATATTAATTAAAAATTTGTACGAGAATGTGTATTAAGCCTTGTTCAGGATAAAATTTACTAAAATTGCTCTTTTGTCTGATTCAGTTGATTGGTTCAACACATCCTAAGTTTGATGCCTTACCTAACAGATGATCTTAACTTAATTTACGGTGACCCAAATTAGAGTTCGTCTCATGAAAAGTTTGATGTTTTTGCTTAGGCCTTAACTTGCAGTCAGCAGAAACTGTTACATATTCTAAATATTATACAATGCAGGACTGAGAAAGCCCAAAAATTTATCAACAGAACTTCCTCTCTAAAAAAACAGAAAATGAGGCCTAAAAATTTGGTGAAAAAAGTAAAGTAAAAATAAAGGCATCATCACCTCTTCCTCTGATGTGGAGTAATCAAAAGAGCTGTAAATATTCTGGCCAGTAATGAAGACTTGTTAGCATAAACAAAACCCAGTTCAAGTTCAGTGATACTGAGGTCAGGAATATACAGAAAATCTTTCAACAGAAAAAGCAAGCCAGCCACGGAGGGGATCTGTTAAAAAGGAAAATACAAATTTAATATTAATTTTTAAACAGAGGCAAAAATGTAGGGGTTTCAATAACATTTTCTATTAGAAGCTGCCAAAGGTGGAATAGGTGGCTATGGCCAGGAAAGGGGCTGTGGGGCTCCTTTTCCATAAAATCTCAACAGATAGGGGCCAGGGGTCCTGTACAAGACGGTGGTCCACTGATAACCAGCTTTTAATTGAAATGCTTGAGTCGTCCAGTAGCCTGACAATGAGAACAATGACAGTGAAAGAAATAGAAAAAATGGAATTAAATGTCAAATGCTGTTCCTAACACTGTACATAGATTTCAAAAAGAGAGATACTACTCCTTACCTCTTAAGAGATACCCTGCACCATCTTAAAATTTAATAAAAATTGACCTCAACTGGGAGGAATAACAATATCATTTCTGCTAATCAAATATTTTGTAAAGTGGAACAAAGGTTAATTGTATTTAGACTTTTAACTTTTCAAATCTTCAGGAATTCATACCTCCCACATTGAGTGAAGTTCCTTCAGCACATCTGTTCCGAGCTCCTTCTCTTCCCACTCAGCCAAATCTTGAAGCAGAACTAAATTTGCTTCCTTCTTTTCCTTCTCTCGAATGCGGCGTCGTTCACGTTCTTCTAAGTCCTCTTGGATTTTAAGTCGAGTAAGCAAAGAGGAGGATTCTTCTCCATTAATCATCTTGACATATGAATTACGAGCAGCAGCCCGTCGACGACCAGTTCCTGAAAATAACATAGGAAGAAAATTATCTCTTTTTGGCAATGATTATAATAATATAAAACATATTTCAGCATGTTCACTGTCTATTAGTCTAAGAATAACATTATACTAATTTCCAACTATTCTTGAACCCATTCTCAATACCTTGTGAATGAGCCAGAAAAAAAGGTTTAAAAAGACAACACTGAATGAAAATCCTTCATACAAGTTGAGATTCTTTCAAAGAATGATATGATTGCCAGTGTAAACACTTGAACCTTGAGACTAAGGACACCCAGGCGTAAAGAGAGTGACTACACGTCAAAGGTCTGCATATACCAGGTAAAGTTGTCTACATTGGCATTAAAATGAACATAGTATACATTATTTATTACTTGTCTGACATTCTTTGTCACCTTTTGTTCTGAATTAACAATGAAAAAGGAAAAAAAGATCAACTCAGCATTATTACCATCACTTGAGTTGGCCACTGATGCAAAATCACTCCTTAAGGCCATGGTTGCTTCCAAATTCACCTTATCTCTGAGGGATCTGTAAAACAATCAAAGACTCATGTTCACAACAAATTTAAAGAGCAACTAGAAGTAGTTTCTAAACAGAAATACATGGCAGTTTACTGGCATACAATGTCAGATTTAAATAATGATTATAAGAGAATGATGTCATTCTTTGTGATTTGTAGCTTTGTTTATCATTTGTCCCACAAATATGGCCATTAATTTGTTACTAATTGTAACGTTTCGACCCCTGGCTGCTGATCATCATCAAGCAACCTGATGAAGGTCAGCAGAAGGTCATTATGGTATTGCAATCAATAACAAAGTGATCATTGTGAGACACAAGTCTTGATAACAACAAATTATTGCACTACTTTTTGTGCTCCATACAATTTTACTAAGGAAACAACCTTGAAGTGTTCATTATAAATACCTGTTTAACAAGGCTAGCTTTTGCTCCAGAATTTTCTCCATCTTATGTCCAAGTTTTGAGACCCAATGGTTTGATCCATTGTAGCGATAACAGTTTTCAAGAATCAGACGGATGTCAGCCACAACTTCTGTGATGCTGGTGTACTCATACTTATTGAATTTACCACCAACTAAAGAGGAAATGAAAATAAATGACATAGATTATATCTTGTTTATCAACTGTTCTGTGTAATGTAATGCTGGGTCTCCACTGTGGTCAGCAAGCCATCAAATGCACCATACTATGCCACTGTCGGCCAATCAATACAACTCAGTCATGAACCCCACACACCCAGACACCATCACACTGACTAGAATGTCAATCACCAACAATGTCCCTGGATTAATGCCAAAACGGTCCTATTTCCATTATGAATAAAGTGATGTATTGTATTTCAATAATTCCTGTAATTATTCTCAGTAAAAAATATTTGTAAGCAAGTAAAGAAAAAGGCATCTCTATAAAGCTTCACATGATTCAATAGTCAATTATGTAGTCAAGTTACCTTCACAAGTTTGAAGTAATAAACCTCTTTACTTGGGCAAAATAAATAGTTAAGGTCCTTAATTAGTTTACAAGCAACCTAAACAACCAATGTGGGGATTCCCTCGGCAGATATCTCTTTTTCCTAGAGTTTAAAGGGAAAACTGTTTGAAATTCTTTAGGCAACAATATCCTTTCTTACCATGCAAATTAAGAGTGTTTTCCAAAACCAGAAATTTAAGGAAATGTAAGAGGAGGAATGAGTAGGAAGTTTAATACAAGGAGTATAAATCACTATTCTCGATTATTATTAGTCAAAATAACAAGTTTTGTTGGAGCAAAGGACAACCAAAGCTTAATTTTCTTCAAACCGAGAAACGTCATTGCTTGTCACCCAAAGTTTATGCAATACACAATTTACGAATAGGAAAGTTGAGCTTACAACTGAACTGCGTATTTTAATTACTAAAATCCAACAACAATGAATAATAAAAAGTTGTACTTACTCTCCTGGAAGCTCATGGGTTCCTTGATTTTGTCGTGGTAGTCCCAGAGTCCAAGTGATTCAGCATCAACTGGCTCCATAAATGGCCAAGTCACATTTTTGTATGCATCACTCGACATTTCTATGAAGACACGATATCCCTGTTGAAGTTCGTAACTTAACTTTGTAACATCTAACATATTTACTTGTTGTACCGGCGATTTTTCTATTTCCGGCTGTTGAGCACGAGTTTCATTAACTTCAACAGGCGCGATTTCGCTTGATTCAATTTCTGCCTCGTCTGGATTTTCAAACACAACTGTGTCCGTTGCCATCGAGGAAGTTTCCATTCTGAGCATGGAGAGTCTCAGCTAAGCTGAGAAACTGTGTGGTGAATACAGGTTAGGTCCTCCCTGTCAAAGTGTTATTAAGGACGATAAAAGCCAAAACTAAACCATGCCAACTTCCCTCAATCGTATTGTTGATGAGCGGTTGCTGAACAAAGGACGTGCGCCGACTCAGTAAGTTCAAAACCACGCTGCAATAAATGAGAAGTTTTCAATTCAGAGCTAGACTTTGGCCACTTTCCTCAAGTACAAATAAGATTCGTCATTGATTCCAAGACCCGAATTTCATGCAAGGAAAAAGTTCATTCACGAGAAGAAAAAATCGATGCGGAATCAATTTACTAAATTAACCTTATCTAGTCCCAGACCCCTCCCCACCTTTTGGCTCGATCTAAAGACTTTGAAATTTTTTACTTTTCCCTGAAAAAATATTTCTTAAGTGAAATAAAAGGGAACGAATATAAATGTCACTTGAAATCTACCAATATAACCTTAACATTTTGTAATTTTCAAACCAAACTTGTCGATCACTTGGCATCCTAAAAGCAATTCTCGAGCCCGCGATGCACGGAGCGTTTGTGTAATTCCCGCCGATAATTTCAAGTTTCCCGCTCGCAGTGAACGAAGAGAGCATTTCTTCAGAGATGCCTCTTCTGGGAAAGAAATCCTACAAGCCGAGCCCGCTTCCCAAAGATCTTAAGTCAGAAGAAGAAGTATTTGTGATCAAGGAGACGAATGAAGTATTCAGGTCATATGAGTATCCTTTTGTGTTTCTTGAAAGCGGGCTTTATTCTGCAGATTCTGTGACGCGCGCTATCGATGCGCTTGCTAGCGGCGGTTGCTGTGCGGTTCATTGTTTCTTCAGGCCTTTTATAGACGTAATCATCGACACTCCACTTAGAAGTTGAGTGAATTGTTTCTTCAAGAACGAAATTTATGGGGGTCATTTGTGCGTGAGGAAAAGTAGAAAGTTGTTCCGTACGTCCATCGTGGTATGTGGATGTGATGGAAGGCCGGTGAACTTTAGAATAGGCCTCGCTTCTTAGCGGTTCGGTTCAAAGTGTTTAGATACGTGATCAGTCTTTTGCTTTTATTAATAGCCGCCTGCTCTGTATATTCGATAAAAATCAGAAATACTTCACTATCTATATTTTGCCATACAGTATTTTGCTGTGAGATTTTCAAGAGTTTGAATGCGCAAAGGCTTTTGGGATTATTGCCCCAACCACAAATGCAATACTGGATGAAAAAAAGAAGAATTTTTTGCAATTCCATTGCATCTGCCAATAATATTGAAGTAATATTTTGAAAGGGAAGGTACTTACTGTAGAAGTCCACTCAGTAGGTAAAGAAATACATCAATACATTTCTTTATAGAAGAACTAGTGATTTTTTATTTCTCTTAAAATCAACTCTCTTGCAGTCAGTCACATCATTAGTCTGGATACCCCCAATACACAGACAGCATCTAAATCCGAGGCAGATATATATTACAGACATTTGACTGATATGAACTCCTGTCTTTAAAGACTTTTTCCTGTCGGGGCTGGTTTTTTATTACCTGTGAGGAGGCCAGCCATTTTGCTAGGGGTCATTTTCAAAATCTTGATTGGTTTGGTAGGGGGTGGGGATCATTTTAATAAATTTCATGAAAGTAGTACAGTGCAGTAACGAGTGTAAATTGAACAGCTGTTACATTCAATTATTGAATGTAAACGATAAACACTGATCTTATAATCATCACTGTAGATAAAGTATGTGGTGAAATTCTGCACAATCTGTAGCTAGAATATTTTAAGTTTCCACAGCTATAAGGTGGGAGGTCACGTAAATCACAATGTGTTAAATTTAAAGGTTGTCATTTCTAAAAAGCTACATTATGTAGGATGAATTGTTTTGTCGGTTTCATAATGGCTGGCCCCAACATCACAGGTAATAAATGACCAGCCCTTTTATGGAAACTAACTGGTGGTCCAGAACATGTCCAGAGGTTGAAAGGTGAATGCATTAGCCTAGGCCTAAGATTTGGGAAAAAGAAAATAGTGACCTGCAGTTAGCCTCTGAGTTGATTGACGATAATAATAATTTTAAAGTCAGTTCAATTTTGAGCTGTATTAAGACAAATTAACCACTGAATATACCCTTTAGTCTGAGCATAAAAAATATTAGCCTTCCTTGCTTAGATTCCAACAGTACTAACTTGTCTCAAAATTTACAACCTGGATTATTTGTTCTTGACACAATAAAGTGAATATGTTAATCGTATAATACTGTATGGATTCCAAGTTTGGAGCTGCAAGATTACTGGCAAAACAAACCTAAAATATGGAGAAGCGGTAGCAAGTGAAGAACAAGCATTGAAAAGGCTGGAAAATTTCCCAAAATATTTGGAAAAACCAGTTCTCCAGATTGTTCACCATAGTAAGTTATTCTTTTAGTCAAGTTTGTGTGTCTAATCAATGGTAATTGAAGTTATTCCCCACTTTCACAAGTATACCATTTGATTCGTATTAATATTATGCTCACAATTGTGGGTTTTTGACATGTCACTGTGATGATGAATGATTATTTTAGCCCATAAGATGAACACCTAGGTAATGAAGCCACTTTGGTCTACTCTTTTGGTGCTTGTATTTACTGGGTTTCATCAAACCTAAATGTTTTTTATCTGCTTTGTTAAGGTTCAAGCAGACTGCAGAACCTTGCACAACATTGCTACAAACACCTGGAGAAGGAATTTGTTGAATATGAACCAGTAGAATTTTGGGACAATGAAAAGTGGTAAGTATTGTGGCTCAGCGGATAAAGTTTGTAAAGTCGACTCTCTCTTAATGAACACATCTATAAGGTGGACGCCTTGGTATACCGTAGAAAGGACGCATAGAGTTGGCCCCTGCCATTCTTTACTCCCTAATTTTACTCTCTATAAGATGGACATCTCTCTAAGGCTCTTAGCTACTGAGAAGACGTTCATGTATTATTATTGAGTACAATGTATAATAATAAATATTATCATTGATTTTATTGCTAAATCTTTATACAATATTACTTATATTTAGATGACAACACTATTGGCAGAGGGTGAAAAGAAAGTCAGCCTTACAGCTTGCCATTTGGGTTGCTAGCATGTGCTAGCCCAAGGGTCACTTGAACTAGCCTGAAAAATTTTTTGGATGGGCAGGATTGATTACAGTTCTTCTGTAATAAATTGAATTCCCCCAGAAAACTTCACTGGCCCATTGGGCAAGTTAAGAACAGAATTCACTGCGCAATAGCAAAATCCACTAGCCTCGGATTATATGACATGNATGATTATTTTAGCCCATAAGATGAACACCTAGGTAATGAAGCCACTTTGGTCTACTCTTTTGGTGCTTGTATTTACTGGGTTTCATCAAACCTAAATGTTTTTTATCTGCTTTGTTAAGGTTCAAGCAGACTGCAGAACCTTGCACAACATTGCTACAAACACCTGGAGAAGGAATTTGTTGAATATGAACCAGTAGAATTTTGGGACAATGAAAAGTGGTAAGTATTGTGGCTCAGCGGATAAAGTTTGTAAAGTCGACTCTCTCTTAATGAACACATCTATAAGGTGGACGCCTTGGTATACCGTAGAAAGGACGCATAGAGTTGGCCCCTGCCATTCTTTACTCCCTAATTTTACTCTCTATAAGATGGACATCTCTCTAAGGCTCTTAGCTACTGAGAAGACGTTCATGTATTATTATTGAGTACAATGTATAATAATAAATATTATCATTGATTTTATTGCTAAATCTTTATACAATATTACTTATATTTAGATGACAACACTATTGGCAGAGGGTGAAAAGAAAGTCAGCCTTACAGCTTGCCATTTGGGTTGCTAGCATGTGCTAGCCCAAGGGTCACTTGAACTAGCCTGAAAAATTTTTTGGATGGGCAGGATTGATTACAGTTCTTCTGTAATAAATTGAATTCCCCCAGAAAACTTCACTGGCCCATTGGGCAAGTTAAGAACAGAATTCACTGCGCAATAGCAAAATCCACTAGCCTCGGATTATATGACATGACAAGTTTTCTTTGCATGCTGTTGGGGGTGCAGAAAACCTATTGAGTTAACTTACTTTTTTGCCCATACACAAGAACTTTACACTGATTATCACTTATTGTTTTTTGCCATTTGTAAACAGGAAACAAGGTACAATATTTAGAGTTCATGAAAAGAACAACCCTAGCAGTGTCTCTGGAAATGTAAGTAAACATTGCAGCATGTCTCTTCATTCTTCTTCTGCAAACAGTATATTTTGTGAAACAGTGGCCAGGAGGATGTGTCCCACATACCTTAAACTGCCACTTATAAGCACCACTTCCCCCCCCTGTACTTACACCTACAAGCCCTCCCAGTTATTGACCCATGTACCTGCCTCTAGCTTGTATGGAAATGAATTCAATTTATTGTGATGTGTTGAATCTTCATTTATTAAAAACCAGTACTGTAAGGGAAGACACATTTTTATCAACACTGCTATAGTTTGTTTTGATGTGCTTTTTTAACGCTGGTTAGAAACCCCTCGGATGTAAGCCCCATCATCTATAAGTCCTCTTAAAACCCCTTGCAGAGTATAGGCCATGGCTTGTTAGCAGCAGTTTACAGTATGTAATTGTAACAGGACAGGGTGGTCAGTGAGCAAGAATGAGAGGGATTTGAGGATTTTTCCTTATTTATTTATTTAACGCTCAAATCCATCAGCAATACAACAACAGTAAAAATATAATAAGTGGGAATGACCAGGGTTTCCATTAAGAATTCTAGTAGCATGGGAAAGGTGTTGTTGTTACAGGAGAATACTGTAAAATTCTGAAAATAAACCCTGGGGCTTATATTTTTCTAAGGCCCTTTTTGAGGGGCTTATTTTTGAAGGGGCTTATATTCGGAGAGGCTTATCTATGGAGGGAAATTTGCATTTCAAAATCAATTGGGCTAGCATTATAGTTGCTTTGTTTTACTTTGTATTTGAGGGCAATTTTCCAAGTACAAGCCCCTGGGGGACTTATATTTGGAGGGGCTATTTAACAGAGAGTTTTTTGCGTTACCGGTTTGGAGGGCTTATACATGGAGGAGCTTAT